TATAGAGAGAGAGAGAGAGAGAGATAGAGAGAAAAGGATAGAAAGCTATATATAGAGATGGAAATAAATAGAAAGATGAATAGATATTTAATAGCGAGAAAGAAATAGAGCGCAAAGATAGAGACAGAGAGAGAGAGAGAGAGAGAGAGAGAGAGAGAGAGAGAGAGAGACCGAGAGATATAGAGAAAGAGGAAGAGATTAAGAGCAGAACGTGCTAATATAAAGAGGTATATTCTAGGGGTTTACTATAGAATATAAAATGCATTTATATATTATAGAAATAGAGAAAAATTGAATAAAAATTTATAATAAACAAAATTATACAAATCATATATTGCTTATATCATGAAAAGTCAACTACCCCATGCACGTTCCGATTTACTAAGTTTTTTTTGGCTATCAGCAGTGAGGGTATTCAGCTGTCGCTATAGCCTTCTAGGCTTTTCATCTTGTTTCTATCAACGAAAATTCAATAAGTTGAAGTAGATCTTTTATTTGTGCAAGTGTTTGGCCAAGCTGCATGAAGTCGCAACGGCAGGATTTTGTCCTTGGCTCTGTGTGAGTGTGTATGTGAGTGTGAGTGAGTGTATGTGTGTGTGTGTGTGCAAGGATTTTCATTCAGTGTGCAAATGCAGCGCGCTACTCTGCGGGCTATAAATATATGAAATTTATCAAGTGGCCTTTTGAGTTTTCGTTTTTTTGGCTCTATGAAATTGAGTGTCGAGTGCCTTTGTGTATTTGCATTCACCTTGTAAATGGGAGAAAGAGAGAGAGGGAGAGAGAGAGAGAGACTGTTCGGGTGTGTGTATATCAAACATAATCAAGCACATTGGCATTTCGCTTGCAGTTTTATTATGAACCTCTTCAGCGGTCGAACAATGAAATGAAAATCAATTTTGGGAACGACACTCAGAAAGCTCGAGCGCATTAAAACTGGCAACAGTTGCTCATAGACGGGGCGCACTGTACAAGGGAGACACTTGAAGAGCTGCGCATATTTATATGCCAAATGAGCGCGACAGCAAAAAAACAACGAAGAGCGGGTAGTGATCGACTAGAAGATACCCATGCAGAGATTGATTGCAATCAGAAATTGGTTTATACTTTTTGGAAAAGGCATTTTATTTTTGTACAATTTAATTACAATCAAACATCCAAAATCTATCGATGTTTAGCAAGAGTTTTGAGTTATCAAGAGAAAGGTTTTAGCCTATGCTTAATATGTTATTAAATAATATATATTTCCAATTTCAAGTTGTTAGTTTTTATAGCTCTCGAGATTTTTAGGTTTATACAGGAGCATAGATGCAAATTTGGCAGGACAGACAGTTAGAAATCTCTGCTTGTTAGATTGACTTTCTATATTAACTTGATCTGGAATATGTGTGTTCCATATGGGCTATGCCACGCCTCTTACTGCCTATTCAACACCTCACTCTATCAGCCAATATTCCCTGCGCTCAGAAAACTTTCATTGGGCTCAAAAAGATGGCAAGAAATGTGAATACAGCGGTAATTAAACAAGTTAAATCCGCTCAACAGATGCTCAAGTCAGATTTTCCTACTGTTTCGTGCTGTTTACCGCAGCAGCAACAGCAGCAGCGACAGTAACAGCAACAGCAACAGCATCATCAGCATCTGCAGCATCATCAGCTGCCTGCAGCACTTAAGAAATTATTATAAATTCATCAAAAAGTTGTCAGCAACATAATTATGCGGCTTGTCTACGGCGCTGGCCTCTTATGTCTATATGTATATATGTATGTGGGGGCGTTCGTTAATGAGCGCCATTTTGTTTTTTACTTCAAGGATAATTACGGTAATTTAAGAGAGGCAAACAGAGAGAGAGGGAGACTGACAGGGAGAGAGAGAGAGAGAGAGAGAGAATCTAGGCATATCGCATGACGCAGCAGATTGAGGATCGCTGATCACACCGCAAGGCGCATTGGCAACAATTACAGAACAGGATATATCCTGTGAGGAAGTTTGGGCGACAGTCGCCCGAGTTGTCACGAAATGCGATACTTTTTTTTGTCACACCAAAGCGAGCCGCCAGGAGCGAGAGATCCTTCTGCTTGAGAGCGAAGTGAAGTTTTGCAGCGCTGACTTCAATGAGCTAAGCCAATGCCTTGTTTATCGCAGTCGGCAGCAGCAGCAGCAGAAGCAGCAGCAGCAGCTGAGCGTCTGATCCTTGTTGTCCTTGTTATCCTTGTTGTGATTAAAGTATGAGCAATAGCCGTCGTCGCATTCGGCCTTTTGTTGAGCGTTTCGGTTTCATGCCTGATTTCACTCGATTTGTTGTTTATCTGCATTGCTGACCAGGTAACAGTAGCCAGATCCTGGCGATGTCCTGGCCCTGTACTGGCCGTGTACTGGCTCAGCTGCCAGCTCCGACTCCTCTGTGCAATTGTGCAGCTAATTGTCTGCTCATTAGCCAATGGCCAATAGCCCAGACTATTGCTAGCTGCTCACAAAGGCCTCTTGACGACATTTTATTTGTGTTTCTGTTTTCACGGTGTCCTTTGCAGGATTTGCTGCTTTATGTTCATTTTGATATTGATACTCTTCACAATGGCTGATTTCTATGCCAACATCTTGCAGGGATATCAAAATAAAATCAAGTCGTGTGTTGAGTAATGAGAGTTAGTGGCGCAAAAGATAACCGAAATTTAATACACTGTAAATAGACTTTCATTTATAGGTATATGGTGAGAGGACATGGCTTAAATTGAATATAAATGGGATGAAATAACATTTAATAACTTCATATTATTGGCTGAAACTTAAAAATAAACTAAGTTCAAGAAATTGTAGTTGGGAGTGTCTTGAATGCTGCATACTATATACTAATCATATCTAGAATAAATTCTTCTCTTTAGATCCCAACACGAAATCGAGGATTGCCTGACTTTTAGATCTGATTTTCCACATGCCTGAGCTTGCCTCTTGATTCAAAGTGAACTTCTACATAAATAGTCTTAGTTCAAAGTAAGGGCAGCCCACACTCGATTAACTGAGCACCTCGTGATTATGTGCTCTATAAGACAGGCCTTTAGCACGCTCATAGAGGAAACTTTCTATGTGCTCCCATCATAGTGTTTATATACGAGTATCGCAACGCCATAAAGCTCCGTTTTGCATAGTCGCATTGCTGGAATCGGCGGCAATGAAAAGGCGAACTCCCTCCTCTTGGCAGAGCAAACAAGCCATGCCCATTTACAATGATAATAAATTAAACAAACAAATATATCAAAATATGGAGCAAACTGCAACAACAAGAACAAAATACTATTAAATTAAGTTAATCAAATGTGAGCGATGTGAAATTGAGCAGCTGCTGAACACAAATCGAAAGCCAAACGTGGAGGCGAGGAGGTGTAGATAGGTGTGAGTGTGTGTGTGTGTCTATATACTCACATGTGTGTGAGTGTGTGTGTGTGTGTGTGGTGTTCGCCTGTGCAGTTACACCTTGCTGGCAGGCATTCAAAACACAACCACAGACTCATAAATAATATTCATAAAAAAGTAACAAACGAGAGCTGGTTAGGGCAGCACCGACTGCAGAATACTCGCTCAAAGTTTGGAGAAAATTAAATTTATAGGGCATATTATATAGAATTTATAAAAATAGTAGTGCTTAAACCTCTTAGTCTGAACTTAAATGCATAGTGACCCCTTGACAAATCAGCTCTTTTCTAAAGTCGTACTTCTATATGCCTGATAGTTTTATTGAGTAGTAATACCTATGCTTATAAGTTAAAATTTCAAGCCTGTAGCCTCTAAAGAATCATAATAATAAGGCAGAAGCAGATCTACAAAGCTTAAAATTTAAATACTTATTCTAGTTATCTTACTTCCTCCACGCCCCATTAGGCGCTGGCAAAAGATTCGAATACCTTCTTCTACCTGCTAATTTCCAAATCTCTCGCTAAATGTTCGCAACTAAAATGCTCACATTGGAAGAGCTTGGGCGAGCATTCAAAAGGCGACAATAGCTTGAGTGCGAGTTTTTTTTTGCTAGGGTTAGTTCAGAGTTGTGTGTGGGTGTGCGTGTGTGTGTGTGAAAGCTGTTAAATTTTGTTTACATTTTGTTTACTCAACGACGCGGAAAACTAGTGAAACACACAGCGAGACAGAGACAGAGAGAGAGTGAGAGTGAGGGAGTGAGAGAGTGAGAGCCTCGCGCCTGGTGAGCATGTTATAAACTATTTGAAGTCACACCTGACTGAGAATTTGTTACCCTTTTCGCATACCCTGTAGCAAGTTGAAGCGAGAGGGGGTGCGCCGGCATTGAGGGTATTTGATTTTAATTAAATTTCCGAAACTTTGTCACAATTTGTGTCTTTCGCTAGTTTCGTTCTCCCGCCTCTGTCCGTTTGCCCGCTCACATGAGGCGCGCGCGCGCTGTGCTTGGGCTCTGCGCCTAATTGGCAGGTGTGAGCGGGGCGAGCGCGACAGGTGCGGCTGCTGATGACTTTTCCGCTGATTCCGAATAGCTTCAATCTACATCCACAGGCATCAAGGCCGGCTAGACCTCGTCGTGGTAGTACTGCTTCAAGCGAAAGGACTCCGGCTGCCCCAGCTCCTGCCATGGCTCGGTGAGGCTGTTCAGCTGCTGCAGCAGCTGCGGCGAGCGAGCCAGGTGAGTGCGCTCTGCAAGGGCAAAGCTGTAGCTTAGATCTAATTTAATTCTAGTTAATCGCTGTGCACTTGCCCAATTCGCTGCTAATGTAGTTAATGGTGGCATTCGTCTGCCATTCATCGTCGGCGAAGGGCATTTTGCTAAAATCAAAGTCGGAAATTTTCTCAGCGATGTGAATTTTGAATTTGGTTTGGCCTAAATGATTTGTTTGAGCCAGAGCAGGGCCCGACTCGATTCGAATCGAATCGAATTGAATGGAATTTCTAGGTCGACTCGATTGACGCGCAATTGGACCAATTATTACGCCCGATTTAATAAACTCAATGGGGCTCTTAGCTGCTCTAAGTGCGTGCTAATCGAAGGAAAAAAAACTTACAGAACAGGGAAGACAGAGAGAGAGAGAGTGAGAGAGAGAGAGTGAGCGAGGGGGAGTGAGCGGGATGCTGCGTGTCTATAAAATTGTTAAGCACATCAAACGAAATTGATGACAATTGAAGCTGCTGCGTCCTTTTCCTTCTCTCAGACAGACAGACAGAAGTTCTTCCTCTTCGTCTTCTTCTGCTTCTACTGCTTCTACTGCTTCGCCTCCCCTCATTCACGCTAACTGCGGAAGCAGGAAACGCGCCGCAAATTGCAAAGTTTGAGCTGCGACTGTTGTCGCTTTGTTGAAGTCTTTTTGCCAAATTAATTTTATTTCTTATATATCTATAAAGAGAGATATACATACATATATACATACAGATATTTTTTTGATCTGCCAAGCCTGGAAATTGAGGACAATTTTCTTTTCACTTTTCGCATTTCCTATGATTAGGCGACGATTATAATAAATGCGAATTTCCTCGGCCATTTCCGCAGCTGCGGCTATGAATTCAGCCAGCTGCTTTGGGCACTTTGCCGTCAGCTTTTGGCTGGGGGCGTGGCCGGTGGGCTGTGTGGTGAATAAGTGAAGATGAATTGAGAATATTATATATTGGCATCACTGGGGAAAGTAAACAGAGAAATACGGGTACTCTAGACTCGTCTGATTGAAGGCTCTTATCATTATCATTTTGGCATCAATCGGATTTAATTTATGTGTATCTAACCCGATTTCCAAAAGCGATACCTTTTCTGAAACGGTTTGATTCAGAGTATTAGCTTTTGTTCAAGAATATTCTGTGACTTTTCAAGTTTAGGAGAAATGCTCAGAATTTCGAATAAATCTTGTAAATTTATAAACAGATTTGCTCAGTAGAATAGAAACTATGAGTAGGAATTTAAATTTTCTTAGATCTTATGACGTTTAAACGATTAAAAAAATAGAATAA